TCCATTTTGTGTTGCTGAAGTCAGCTCTCTAACTACTATTTAATAGTACTACATTCATATGATCCTTCTCCACATCTTTCTTTACATCAAGTCATGTCTCTAACTACTAACTCACAAGGAATTTCAGAAGAGTATAAACAGCTCCAATGGTAACATGACCAATGGTGAATAATATATCAATGAAATGCACATATGAGGCAGCCAATAAAGGTAATTATTAAGGCTATGTAAAAATGTAGAAAACCTCTTACTGAGGGAAATCAGCAGACTGCAATATGATTTGAATATCCATTTATCCATTTATTAAACATATATTGAGTACCTATTTTGTGATAGGTCCTAGAGATATAAGAATTATTAAGACGGTCCATTCTTTAAAGGAGCTCAGAGTTTAGCAGGAGAGATAGCCATGAAAACAGATTGCAAACAGGTATTCATTTGGGCAAAGACTAGGAAGGAGTATGGAATTAAGTATATTGTATTAGGAGTGTGAGCGTGGGTGAATTTTGTCTTTTAAAAATATCTAGTGGGGGTAAACCTTGACACAGGCTTTCAGAAGAAAGAGCAGAACTAAATTCCTCAGACAAAAGCTACACACAGCTCCTTGTAAGTTTTTCCCCATTCTACACCTTTACCTTCAGGATACCCCCCCCACCAAAAAAAACCCAGGAAATCAGTGGAGTTCCTGTTCCCAGACTGTGTCCACAGAGAAGTCAAGTAGACCTTGACAAGAGCTCAAGGAAAAGAAATGGCATAGCCATGCCGACCTTCTACAGCAAAATAAATGACCCAGACCAACTTTGAGTTACTTAACTTGCAATAAGAAAAAATAGCGGGGGAGGGGGAGAGAAGAAATACATTTAATGGTGTTCTGACGCATTTCTCTAGAGTCTCATTAACTGGCCAGCAGGTTTATCTGCACATATATGTGCCCCAGAATTCCCTAGGAGAACTGGTCTCCTAGAACTCTTTACTGTTGTCCCTGTCAAAAATATTCTTCAATGTTTTAATTAAAATCTTATTTTTTTTAAGCTATGGACTCATTTTCAAGAGACTTGGGTTAGCTAACTCCATGCTGTTCTAATATAAATTCATGAAAGTCAGTTTTACTGTATATAAAATTCTTGGCTCACATTTTCACTGCTTTGATGAAGTTCCAAAGATAGTCTTATTTATTAGTGACCACTGTCACTGGTTAATCTCATAGGCTCTGAAGGTCAGACAGGTTTAGGTAGATCCAAATCATTTACTGGTCATCCAACCCTTGGCAAGTTGTTGACTCTTGATAAATTTAGTTTCCAATCACATGGAGATACTATCTGATAGGGGTTTATGATTATGAAACAGATTGATACATGCAAAATGGCTTGTCATGGTACCTGGAGCACATAAAATTCTTAGTACAGGTATTATGATCAAAACATGATCATTGGGTTTCCGTGAAGTCATTCTCTTTTTTTTTTTTGTGGTACCCTCACCAGTGGCCAGGGATCGAACTGGAGCTGCAGAGGCTGCGGGCAGCCTTGCAACCCAGCACTCAATCTCTGCGCCACCAGGGGAGGCCCACCGTGAAGTCATTCTTGATCTGTTTCAGGGAAATATGAATTGACACAACCAATAATTAAGACATTAAGACATACCATACTAGGTATTTAATAGATGCATTCTGAAGGTTCTAATTTAAGAATATGGCAAAGAAAAATAGCATTCCATTACTAATGCAATTCCAAATGGAGGGTTACAGAGTAGTAAGAAGTTACATTAGTAACATTTCTCATCTACAAAAGTGACCAAATTATTTCTTTCTTACTATTCATATAAAATTATAAATTGATTCATTTTTGTTCAATTTGACATTAAACAGCTAATAACTTAGGAAAGAAGTTAGGTTGACCTCTGATTCCAGTACATTTCCAGTAAATTCCAGTACATTTAATGTACCCCATTCACACTATCCTCTTCCACATCTTTCTTTACATCAAATCATGTTCCTAATCACTCACAAGAAATTTTGAAAGAGTAGAAACAGCTCAGATAGCAACATGATGGAATGGTTGAATAATACATAAATAAAATGAACATATAAAGCAATTAATAAAGGTAATTTTTAAGGTCATTTAAAAATGTAGAAAACCTGGTACTGTTTGTGACTAGCAGAGAATTAAGAAAAAAGAATTAAGAAAAAAGAAAAAAATATATACTATGTTCTTAATTATTAGGTGATTTTCAAGGAAATGAATAATATAGCTGGGTTTAGAAGGCTAATTGGGGGCATGAGAATATGAAATAGAGTCCTACCTGTTACTCCTAAAACACTGTGAAGACCCTTTAAACATGTAAAAGCAATAAAGACCCTCTACCTCACCTCACCCCAATCCCTATGAAGAAAACCTAATTCAATCTACTTTCACTTTTTAATTAGTTCAAGTTAGTTGAAAGCATTGGAAACACGGACATTTCCACAGATAGGCAGTGTGACTCTGATCCATGCCAAGTGTGTGTTGTCACTTATTCGGTACAGTTGAACAACTGTCTTGGCTTCTGAAGGGAATTTAAAAATTAATCAGGCAAACTAATGCTGGAAGATCACTAACAACTGCTTAACTGAACCTGCTCCCCTTACACTAGGGGTCTTATTCACGTTTAGTAAGAAATTAACATTAATCTGATTAGATGTTGCATTCACATGTTGCATTCACAAAGCAAAGAATGTTAATTAGAAGTGGGAGAAAAAGGTAGTGCAAAAGCAGCAAAAGCAATGGAAAACTAGGCAGTGGTGAGACATTATGCACACCAGTGAAGCTGCTGACATAGTAACTCTATAGTAGGATTTCCCGCAATGCTGAGCACAAAATATTCACATTGCAATACTCTAAAACTAGAAATTTACTTCTGGACAGGTCCTTATGCATCTAAGTCCAAATTCTCATTGTACAGCTAAGGATACTCATCTTTACAGATAGGAAGTGATTAATTTGATTTATGACAAGTGCTCATGCTTTTACTTTGAGCAACACCATTCTACTGCTGTAGCTTTTAAATGAAACAGCACAGTAAGGCAGTAAAACTTGGGGATTAAGTGAGTGGGCTCTGGAATTAGACTGCCTGAGAGCAAATCTGAGCTGTGCTACTAAAGAGCTGTGCGATCCAGGATGTATTACCTGCCCTCTTTGAACCTTAGTATTTCTCGCTGACAAACACAAAATCATAGTACTCATTTCACAGATGTATGTGGCTTGAAATTGGTAACATTAGGTAAAACTCATGGTGCATAAGTAAGTATATTTGCTAAAATTGTTATTTTATCAAAGGCCAAAGACTGCATGCAGATCATAAACTGAAGTAAAAAGGGGCATGGGATTAACACACTCTTTTTATCTGTGCAGGTGGCACCAAAGAAAGATCCAGACAAAACGTTTTTTAATTCATTAGATCACAAAGCCATGTGGTCTCTACAGTGCTGCTGACAGTCTACCAATGTCAGGAAATTGTAACTGGATTTCTTCGACAAAGGTGATAAATGGTGATCTGCCAGAATAATTCGTAAAAGCTCGAAGGTTAGTTCGAAGTGTCTACCCTGCACAGCCTTTGCATACCCACTGCTCTCTGCCTGCTTAACTGTCACAGCTCTTGCATGTTTTCAAAGGATCTTTTGGTAAACAGGGATATTTTTTCAACATGGAACTCAGACTGTCTTGAATTCTGTGACTTTGTTCAGCAGAAGACAAAGGCCAGGTTTCTTCTTGAAGGACCCTCACTCCTTCCTATTTTTGTTCTTGAGGATTTGGATCCTGCATTTCCTTGGCTCAGGGATGTGCAGTTTTTATATCACGAAGTATGGATCTCTCCTCTCCCAAGATTTTCCCCAGAAGCATTAGCATTCGGAGATGGGGTTTCCTTCTTGTTTGGAGAAGCTGGGGTGAGGAGGTCACATGTGAAGAGGAAGCTTTGCATGCAGTGGGTTGCTGGGAAGACCTGTGGCTTCTGCAGTCACGGGGATGCTGACCCAGCCCCTTGCTGAGCTCCTCCACTTGGGGTAACAGGGCAGTCGCTCTTCCATGAGGCTCGCTTTCCTCCAGTCCTGAGTTGCTCTCCTGCTTCCCATTTTTAACTCCCATGCCCCAACTCCCCCCAAAAGCTTACGTATATTCAGGACTTCAAAAGCAAACCAAAGACTCACTAGCGGGACATGCTTCCACCCCAGGGGAGCACAGAAAGGCTTTCACGGGGCTGAGAAGGAAACCCCCGTTTCCTACCAAATCCCGTCTCGTTCCGCAAACTTGGCTCCCCGCAGGGTGGGCCCCCCACGTTCCAGTCCAACCTTCTTCAGCTCAGAGCAGGGGCCCCGGGGGTGGGAGTCGGCGGGGCTGGCCCCCCCCAACCTGTTCTGCGCCGGGTCGGGCGGGAACTCCAGGAGCCGGGTGACGCTGCGGGGAAGGGTGGCCACGTGCGCGCGACGGGGACGGCCGGGCCCTGAGGCGGGAAGGTCCCCGCTCCCTCGCTGGGGGCGTCCCCCGCCCCGCCCCGCCCCCGCGGAGGCCGCCGGCCGCGGCGCACGCGTGTGCGCTTCTCCCCGACCGGCCGCCGCCTGCTCGCCGAGGCCGCCCGCCCGGCACCATGCGGAGGGTGAGTGCGCGCGCCCCGCGGCCGGAGGGGCGCCCGCGGGTGGGGGCCGTGGTCCCCGCTGTGCTCGGGCCGCTGCCGCGGGAGCCGCGCGCGGGGAGGGCTGAGGGCTGAGGGCGACGCGCGGTCCCGCGGGGCCGCAGCCCTGGGGTGGGCGGGGGCGGGCGCCCCTCAGACGACGTGGGGGCGCCCTGGGGCGCAGTGGGCTTCCGCCTCCCTGCCCGTGGCGCTCGGCCCGGCTCCCCGCGCTGGCACGTCGGGGCCCCCTGCTGGGGCGGAGGGGGGTTCTCCCCTCACCCGAGGCGCCGGTTTTCTGGGCGCGCCTCCCCTGGCGCCCCTCGCGCCCCTCGCGTCCCTCGCGCCCGCCGGCTCGGCTCGTTGCGCAGCTGCGTTGGGCGCCTCAGCGCCGCGTCCTCCTCGGGAGTCCCGTAAACTTTCCCGCCCGCCTCGGTTGGGTTCCCCAGGCGCCCCCCGGGGAGGGCGGGAGGGAATGGAAGGCTCCCATCCCAGTCAGCGGGGTGACGAGCCCGGCGGCGGGGGAGTGGGGAGGGGGTCCCCACCACCCACCCACCCCTCGCTCCCGTCCTTGCGAGTTGTTCCCTGGCAGGAGCCAGCCCTACCTTGCCCGTGGACAGGAAGGCGCGCCCCAGCAAGTGCACCTGGGGGGACCTCACCTGCCGAGCCATGACTGCTTTCCTCAACAGCAGGTGTGGGGCGCCCCTGCCAGCGCCCCTCCCCTTCTAGCTAGGGCTCTCCGTGGGAAAACTCACCAAACTAGCTGATCTGTCTGGAGGAGCTAATTGAAAGTGTTGGTGATTTCATTAAGTTCCCTGTCCTTAGGGTGAAGGCTGCTGAACAACGCACCTATCTCAGCACTTACAGGGTAGAGGAGTAGAGGAAATCCAGTAGGTACCCTTCACGTGTTCCTAGACCTCCTAAGGCTAACCGGGATGAGGGTTTAGGCCGCATGGAAAGAGGGGTGGGGTGGGGGATGCCGCGGGGTGAGGTCTGTGTGTGTTATTTTCTGACCAGACAAGGCTGAAAAGAAATGACTGATACTCACCAGAGCCGGTGAATATCTCACGGTTGGCGTGTGGGGTTGCAGTGTTGCTAAGGTATGTGTGTGTTATTGCTTTGGTCGCCCTAGTGGCCCTTTCAAAGATCTCTGCCTTTCAGCAGCTAGGTTGCTTCAAAGGGAACTCTGGCCTGTCGTTTTGCAGACAGTGCCAGAATTGAGTCTCGTGTGTGTGTGTGTGTGTGTGTGTGTGTGTGTGTGTGTGTGTGTGTGTGTGTGTGTGTGTGTGTGTTTGAGAGTGGTGTTTGGAGGGACTGTAGAGCAAGTATAAATTGGCCCCATCTGCCCCTGGAAAGTCTTAGTGAAAACTGACATGGAAATTTACCTGGTTTACTTTTGGAGAGAGTCCAGACCTGCTCAGGTATTTCTGGGGAGAACAGGATTCCAACCAGACTGGCCAGCTAGATTGGCATGACTCGCATTGGTGGAGCAGCAGAAATGGAATCTGGTGGGGTTACTTGTTTAAACTCCAAATTCAGGGGTCAACAACCTCCTTTTACCCTCAGCTACATAAGGGGAGTGTAGGAAATTAGCTGGGATGGGATCTATAGGCACAAATAAGGTGTGTTACAGAGAGAATCAAGATTTAGAGGTTTAGGGCATTGACCAGACTATCTTAAAATGTGATTTGCATACTATTTGCTTAAGACTGAAAGAGCTAGATGCTTATTAGAAATGCAGATTCTTGAGCTCTAATTCAGAACCACTGAGTTAGTCTCTCAGGATTGGAACTCAGCAGTCTGTACTTTTAACACCCACCACCACCACCACAAGTCAGGTATTAAGCACCTACTATGTGTAGGCACTGTTCTAAGCTCCAGGAATACACTGGGAAGATTACAGCCAAAACCCTGGATCTCTCAGTTTAGAAATTAGGCAATAAATAAGTTAAAAGCGTACAAATAATCCAGTTCTAGACAGTGATGAGTGCTATGAAGAAAATAAAAGCAGGAGAATGAAATGGGTAGTGAATCTGGGGATTGGGGACTTGAAGCCATTTTAGTTTGTATGATCAGGGAAGACATTTCTAAAGAGTTGACATTTGAACTGTCAATTTCCGGATAAAAAGAAGTCAGCCATGTGGAGGTTCAGAGGAGAGAGTGTTCCAGAATGAACAACATCAAATACAAAGACTCAGGTAAGAATAGACTTGACCTACATGGGAAGCAGAAGGTACCAGGGCTGAAGTGGAGTGTGTCCAGGTGGGAACAGGGAATGAAGCAAGTTTGGCGAGAGAGGGAGAGAGCAAGTTCTGTAGGGCCGAGTAGATCACAGTGAGAAATTTGGATTTTAGCTTAAATGGGGAGGGATGCTATTTCCAGAACTTTAAGCAGAGGAATAGAATGATGTGATCTAGTTTGCTTTTCTTGAGGTTCAACTTGGCTATTGTGTGTAGAATGGATTGTGGAATGGGAGTGTTAGTGAACAAAGGAGACCCTTTCTCTGCAGGAATGATGGAGGGGCAGGGGAAGCATTTTGGAGGTAGAGATAACTGAACTTGCTGATGTGGGAAGAAGTGGGAATCCTCTAATATACACCTGTGGTTGCCAGTCGGGGGGCAGGGTGTGTGTGTGTGTGTGTGTGTGTGTGTGTGTGTAAGTAAAAGAGGGAGAGAGGGAGAACAGAAGGTGGTTTGGTCCCAGCTGGGAGTGCCCCCAGTGATGATGAAAATAGTTAACATTAGGTGAACATGTACTGTTTACCTGGTGCTGTGGTACCTGTGTTAACCCTTTGTCACCCTTTTACTGATCTGATAACAAACTCCGAAACCTTGGGTTTGTTGCTCTAGACCACTCAGCTAAGTGTTGGACCTGGCCCTTGGCCTTTATGCTCTGCTGCCTACCTACTGCCTGCGCTTGCCCCACACCATTTCTGTTTCTAGAGAAGCAGGTAATTTAGTTTGTCACATGCATGTGGCAACCTTTCAAATGTTGTAGATCAGTAACTGCAAACACACAATTAGAATAGAAAGTAGTGACTTTCATTTGGTGTTCCTGAGCAAAAGAGAAGGTGCAGAAGCACAGAAGATGCCCAATATTTAGATTTCTCTGAGGAGAGGCTGGACCTCCCTGCCCGTTGCTTTGACTCTTATGTCACAACCACCAAGAAAGTGCTGGGTTCTCTTTTACCACTTCTGCATACCTAGTTGATGTTTTGTTCTTTACTTTTACATCCAAAAAAGAGCACTTTCCTATACAGAGCTAGGAGTTTCAGAGGATTGGCTACTTAAAAAAAAAAGATTTATTTGTATTAGAGTTAGAAATCAGTTATGGAAAAATAATAAGGTAGCTACTGTTTATTGATTGCTTTTCCTGTTCCAGTCATCTGTTGTTTTCCTTCATTTTCGGAACAGCCTTTTAAGTTGATATTAACAGGTGACACATTTGCACAGCGTAAAATTCCAAAGATATGAAAAACTTTACAGTGAAAAGTGTTCCTCCTATTCTGTATACCAGCTGGTTCCCTTTCCCAAAACTAATGATGTTTAATCCATTCTTTGGCGACCCTCCAGAAATAATCTGTGCAGATGCAACCAGTTATATAGTCATATTGTTTCTCTTTTATTAATATAAAAATGTAAATGTAATACATAGTGCACTTTACCTTTTTTCCTTGTATGCAAGGTTAGTATTTGTAGATCTACCCAGTTCTTTTTATGACTGTGGCGATTCCTATATATGAGTGTACTAAATTGGTTGTTTCTAGTCTTCTGCTATTGTCAGCAGTGCTGTAGTAATAATCTTACATATACCTGACTTTGCATTTGTGCAGGCATATCTATATGATAAATTATAGTAGAATTTCTGGGTCAACTTATATGTACCTGTTTACTTTGTTAGGTGAAGCAGTATACTATAGGGAACATATATGTGTATATATGTCACCAAGTATAGCACAGACTTGGGGCTGGATTTGCTTGTTGTTGAATTATTTTTTTTTTTTTGCATAGAAGAACTGGGGTGTAGGCCAGAGGTATGGCAGGGCTAGATGGTGAGAGGATTCATCATACAGAGTGGGGAACAGAACAGACAGATTTACTGAAATATATGACTAAGGAGAGCAGCGGGTGAGACAGGAGAGGTCTGCTGCACCATATTGTGGGTTCACTCCTTGGCCAGAGATCAGACTCAGGCCATGGCGGTGATAGTGCTGAGACTTAACCCCTAGGTCACCAGGGAAGCCTGATGTTCAATTTTGACTGTCATTTAAACCTGTCCCAGTCACTTAACCCCTCCTTGCCTCAGTTGCCTGATTTGTAAAGTAGTAATAATAATAGCACTTAGAATTGTTTTGAGGATGGTATCAGTTTGTGTTGTATTACACATCACCCCAAACTGTTCTATAACAAGTCACCCCACAGCTTAGTGATTTAAAGCAGTGATGACTACCTAGCTCATGATTCTGTAAGTCGTCTGGGTGGCTCTCCTGTTCTGGGTCTGCCCAGTTGAGCTCTGCTGGGATCTCGTATGTTTCTGCCGATACCTGTGGAACACCTGGACACTGGGCAGTCCAGCACAGCCTCACTCACATATGTGGTAGTTGACAAGTGAGGTGATCTGTGGGAACCCCCTTTGGAATGGCCTGTTGTCTCCCAGATTGATTAGCTCAGCTTTGCTAACATGGTGGTCTCGGAATTCCAAAAAATAGCAGAAGATGGCACACCCCAAAGCACAGGCATTTCTCAAGTCTGATTGTGTCACATTTGCTGTTGTCCCACTGATTCTCCAAGCACAAGGATGCAGTAAGGGGAATCATTGATGTCATATTTGCACATATTCTACCACAAAGATGGGAAAAGTTTTTTATTTTTAAATGTTTGGCATGTTCTAAGTGCTGTGTAAATTTGTTTAATTGAAAAAAAGAAGCCCTCAGATTACACCTCCACCAGCAGTGTCTGAAAATGCATCTCTCTGTCTTCCTAACTATCAAAATGATTTTGGAGGGGCCGATATTATCTGTGCAGAGATTGATGTTCTTTTTCCCGTTTTACAGATTAAAAAAAGTGATGCTAAGAGGCGGTTTTCTGGTGTTACCTGCCAAATGGAATCTGAATCTCAACTTGTCTTGCCACTGTAGACAGAGTTCTGTGTCCATACTGCTCCCATCTACTCTTGTCCACCCTTGCATTCATGTCCTTCATTTCCATTTCACATTTAGATTTTTTTGAGGTAAAGTAGGATCTGTCAATCTGTTGAAGTCTTTTTTTTAAATTTTTAATTAATTTATTTATATAAGCACTGGATGCAGTCAGAAGCATGGGTGGGTGAGAGAATCACCAGAGCTAGAGCGGGGAACAGAACAGGCAGATGGACGAAATACACTGCCAAGGGGAGCAGCGGGCACGGCAGGAGAGGTCTGCGTGCCATGTGGGACCCTCGCTGGTGGCCGGGGATCTAACTGGCGCTGCAGAGGCTGCAGGCAGCTTCGCAGCCCAGCGCTCAACCGCTGCGCCACCAGGGGAGGCCCAATCTGTTGAAGTCTTTAATAGTGTTTTTGATTTCACCCTGGGCTGCTGATTCAAAGTTAAGTGTCCACAAAGATAGTGTGTCTGCGGGGGAATGTCAAGGGAAACCTGTGACTTTACCTTTTTTTAATTGAGATAGGCGAGTCTGGTCTTACTTTGTTCTTCCTTTCCATTTCTTATATCTCTGTTTCTCTTTTTTCCTATATAACCTAGTAGTTCCATTTCCCCAGCAGTACAGGTAAAGGTAGGACACCTTGTTTCTTAGTGGCTCTAGACTTGTTCTTGAATGATTTCAAGACCACTGCCTGGATTCAAATCCAGTTCATCTATTTCCTAGCTGAGTGGCTTGGGTTGGTTAGCCTGCATTAGAGGTTTTTTCCTGAGAGCTGAATTATAATCTGTTCGAAGTGCTCAGTTATTAATATTACACAGCAGATTACTTTTGCTTCTGTCTTCTCTGTATTATTTCACGCTTCTTCTCCAAACCTATTCTTGTACCCCAGAAATAGCTAATGTTTGCTGAGCTCTTGCTTTAAGTGCCTTACATGTAATTAACTCATTTAATCCTCACAGCAAACCTATGAAATACATGCTATTTTATTACCATTTTCAAGTGAGGAAGCTGGGCACTGAATGGCTGTGTAATCCGCCAGCATACCACAGCTAATAAATGATGTAGCAAGGATTTTAAAGTAGGCATCCTGGAAGCAGGGTCTGTATTCTTAATATTTATGCTAAGAAAATGGGATGGAAGGTTGGAGATTTAAAATGGAAAGCTCTGCTCTAGGTAAACTGCTAGTGAACTGACACACAATCTCCATCCTTGGCAGCAGTGGAATACACCCAGCTGTGCCTTAGACTGAAAATCCCAGCACAAAAAATATATAAACTTTCAGTCCTTTTGCCAAAAGCCTTTCCACTTCAATCATCGTAATCCTAACAAGATTTCAGGCATTGTGCCTCCGTTGTAACTGAAGTGTGACACTATTGAAAATACTTGGTCTTTTTTTTTTTTCCCCAAGCTGGAAAATCAAGCTGGCTAATTCTTAGTCTTGCCACCTCTTGCTCCTTTTGATGGCCTGCTTCTCTGGTGGCACTGATTGCCAAACCAGCAGGAGGGTAAAATATAAACACCACAGGTAATATATAACTTGCTGAATTTAGAATGGTGCAGATCTCCGAGATGAAGGAAGCAACTAAGGCTGTTTCATGAACTTTGCATGTAGATTAAATGTGATGTGGTGATACTCCTCAAAGGAATATTTATCATGAACTTAATACTGTGTTCTAGAAATCCATTGTGAGTGGGCAAGCTCTGTATGGCCCTCCTTTTCTCATAGAGTTTGTAGTCTGAGAAGGTCATTAAACAGTTCTGTGACTTGTGGTGTACTCTTTTTAAAAAATTATTTATATAAGAACTGAGGTACAGGTCAGAGGCGCGGGAGGGTGAGAGAATTCACCAAAGACAGAGTGGGGAGCAGAACAGGCAGACGGACCAAAGACACTGCTGAGGGGAGCAGCGGGCAAGGCGGGAGAGGTCTGTGCACCATGTGGGTTTCTCCCTGGCCAGCCGGGAATTGAACACTCACTGCAGAGGCTGCGGACAGCTTTACAGCGCAGCGCTCAACCTGCTGCTCCACCAGGGGGGCCCTGTGGTGTACTCTTGCAAGGGA